TACTGATAAATAATAAACTATAGACTGGAAATATCCATCCTGCCTTTAACAATCACCCTCTCCCATTCTCTGTCACTTCTTCCAACTATAGCTTACCTCTCATCACCACCAAAACACAAGAGGCACTATAAGTGGAAGAAAATAAGTTGGCCTTCAAATTTCTTACTCCTAGGCAAGCACCATGCTATAGAAGCCCTATATTACTGCAAATCAATATCCAGAATTGAGCATCTGAGTACTATAATAAGCATAAAAATAGATTTTGGCCTTGAATAAGTTGAAAATATTTCAAGTATAGTTGGTTGGCCAGTTGGTTAAGGCACCAGACACAAAGATAGCTGGGTAAATTTGGGTAACTTTGAGATACTCTCTTCCTCTCAGCTCTAGGAAGGAGGTAATACCAAACAACTTCCAAAATCTTGTCAAAAAAATTGCAGGGGCTTGTCCAGGCAGTTGCCAGGAGTCAACACTGACTTGAAGACACAAAATAAATATAAAATATTTCAAATATAGACCCTAAGGTCTCAGCTGTTCATGAAATTCAAATGATGCTGGAAGTGTATGTGTTTGTGTGTAGAGTAATGTTTTGTTGAAATTCTGGCCATAATGTCTAGTGTCTTTCACTGTCTTGTTCCAAGTGGCCTTGTAAGAAGATACTTTAATAACTAATAACATAGTTCAGAGAACTATGTCTGGAGTTGTTGCTACTACTCTTTGGTCTATTCACTGTTGCTAAATTTTAGAGAGGCTCCCTCTTCCACAGATACTGCTTCAGCTTTTGAACTGATATCACGTATAGTATGTTTGAAAAATCCAGATTGTTTATCAGTAGCATGGTGATTGGACATGGGAGATTTTACAACATGTTGGAAAAACAAGATATTGGTTTAATAAACTCTTGGTGGCTGGTTATTCATTATGATTAACTGAATTATTTATTTTTATGTCCTTTTGGTTTTATTAGTTTATTCTTTGCAAAAAGGGAAGTTGTGATGATATATGGATGACTGTTTCTTTAAGAACCTGAAACATTGAGAGAGGACAGAATAAATTTAAATATAATTTATTTATATCTCAAATATAGAGACCCCACACACAGAACAACAGTTGTTGGCAGGGAGTAGATCTTAAAAGTTGAATTGCTATAAATAGTAACTTTGTGAATAATATTGTATTTAAATTATTAAATTAAAGTATTGAATTTAAATTATGATGTTGATTCTTATGAAGAAATACCAGTAGTTATCATTATATAATTCTCAAGTCTTAAACAATCATAACAGAACAAACAGTAACACTAAGTTATAATATCTCTTTCTATCATGACAGCCATTTCTGAGAATGCACACAGGTATCTCAAAATTCTAAATGTGCCCAATAGCCAAAAAGCTTTTTTCCCTGTATTAAAAACAATAAATCGTAGAGCCTTATCTTCTGTGTTACTTTGTTTTTGAAGGAGGCAAATGGACACAATCATGTCATTCCTTGCTAAACCATTATATGACTTTGTGGTATTCCCACAGGCCAATTGCTGAATTAAATGGGACTGACTTTGAAATGGGACTGTATTGATCAATTGTTTGAAAAATAGTAGAAATATTAGCTTTTTGAGGCATAAAAACAAGGAATAAAATGTTCAATACTTTTATACAAATATGGGAGAATTATTTTCTGGAATCTTTCCCACTTGAAAATGAAATGATGTACAACTATATCACAAGATGAAAGAAATATCCTTTCAAAAGCCCTTTGTACATTTGAGAATTACAGAAGTGATAAATGATCATGTAGAGGTTATAATAATTTTAATGCAATTGTCAGGCTGTATGAAATGATTAAATATTGTTAAACTTTACAATAGTGATATAAAACATGCCAGAAAATACAACCATTCTTTTTTTTTTTTTTGCCTGCATTCCTATGCAGGTTCACTACATAAATATGAACATTTTTGAATCCTGGCACTGCCATAACAAGAATTATTCTCTTTGCTTTACTGTCATCCAGACATGGGAATTTTGCCAAAAAAATTGACACTAATGGAGATAGCATTAACTCCCACAGAATAACAAACTGCAAATTGTAACTATAAATTCCTGGGAGGCCAGAAAGTTTTCTTCCTATCAAGATACTTTAGGTTTAAAAATGAAATATACCTGTCAAAATGGCTGTTTCTTGTGTAGAGGATATGAAAAGATTGAGTGAAGCAAAACCATATTCACTTTGGACTGTGGAGTATTGTGGAATGTTCATCATCCAAGTCCTCCTGAAACATCCTAATAGGTTTTCACTTGGCTGGCTTCTATGAATCTATTTCATGTTGTTATTTATCAAATGATATTTCATTTGACGTGTTAATTTCAGGAGACATTTCAAATGCAGCATTTTGTAGAACAATTTTCCTTCGTACTGAGAATATAATTTGACCAAAAAGGCTGACTTTATTAGATTTCTATGAAAATGACTGTAAATTTGAATCTCACCAGGCTCAAGGTTGACTCAGCCTTCCATCCCTTCTAAGGTAGGTAAAATGAGGACCCAGTTTGTGGGGGCAATAAGCTGACTTTGTATAAATATACAAAAAATATGAAGGTTATTGCTTAACACATTGTAAGCCGCCCTGAGTCTCCGGAGAAGGGCGGCATATAAATCAAATTAAAAAAAAAAATCAAAAAGAGAATTTAAAGAACATTTTGCTTATTTTTTCCCCCTTTGGTAGTGTTAACATAACTAGCTTATAAATAACGATATAAGCACTGACATTGCTGATGTCTTTCTCTACATTACTTACAGACTTTTTATTTCCTAGCTCCTTGTTGAAAGTGTATTTTAATACAGATAAAACTTTTTAAATTCTGGTCTTGACAGAATCTGAAATATATTTATAAAACATACACATTTCTCTCAAGCTTCTGACAAAATACTGTAAATACAGTTGAAACATTTATTACAAGTTGTACATGGCAATTTGAGATATACTCCAATCTGTACTTTGAAAATCTTTCTGAGCCTTTGAGTAGATTGCACAGACATTTCATCATAAAACAGCATTTTGCTTGCTTGAGGCTCTAACATTTCACATACTGATTTGGGAATGCATTCCATTGAAATAACTAGGAAGCACTTGCAAGAAAGACAATGTCTGAATCCTAAGCAAGTTTAATACAAATTAGTTTGCAGTGATCTCAGTGAAACTGATTTTCACATTGACAAATAGACTGCACACTTATAAACACATATTTATAGACTGCATGCATGAATATACACAATATTAATTTATTCCCTCTCCCATAGTATTTTAGAGGAACTGATGGTTTGCAATTTGCAAACCACCAGTTCCTTGGAATTCCAGTTTCTTGTATTCCAGTTCCCTATAATACAATAGCTTTAGCAAGCCACTGAAATATGCTAATATATAATATTTCCCAGATTTCATCTGGGAACAAATACTAAAATGCAAAAAACCTTTTCACATAATGCATTCAACTCATGATTTGTCAAGTTCAAACCCCTGCTCTTAACCAATAAAGATAGACATAATAAAGTTCTGCAGAATTTTACCCTCTATACAGTATAGATACAGAATCTATACAGCTTTCATAGATAACAAGAACTATGATAAGAGGCTAGGACAATTGCATTCTAAATTATTTGCAAGGGGGTATCTCGAAAAGTATCACTAAAATACTTCTATAGATAAAATAGACATAAAACCATAGGCGGCAATTAGAGTCTCTGCAGCAGTCTTGATACTTCCACTTATATTCTTTATCTTTAGACACATTTGTCTGCCAGTAGCCTGTCTCTTGTTATAGCTTTATCCATAATTTTTCCTAATGATATTTAGAAATGGATCATTAAATTTCTGATCTTTCTGAGCATGTTATCTCATTTTTTTTTGTTGCTTCCTAAATGGAAGTAAAGTGATAATCTGAATTGAAGGTGCTCAAAGCAAGGACCCAGCTAACTGCATAGGACTACCCTATTCGGATCAGGATTATTCTGATTGGACATATTTTGCTTTTTTTCACATTAGTTTATGAAATTAATTTGCATCCGTAATTCAAAATCCTATAATTTCTTGTTTCCTTAATTCAAGAAAGATCTTGAAAAAAATTTGAAGTCCAAGAAATAGCATGCCATCCTATTCAAGGACATTGGTCATTAACTGAAACTACAGTTTTCCAACCTTAAAATATAGTCTGATACAGTCTCAGAGGGTAAACCTGATGTGGCTTCTTCACTCTGAAGAAGCAAAGTTGTGAAGATTTGGATATGATTGAAGATTCTTCAAGGATCAGAGTCAGTAACAGTCAGAAATTATGTTCCTTATAGCCTCATTTGCATGACATTTGTTGGTGCAGTAAGTCTTCTAGTTAAAAGAAAGTGTCATTGAACAGTGTATTATGCTGTCCAAGGTGCTGACTGTTCCTTTATCTTTTCCAGTACCAGGAATTGTATGTTACTTCAGACTATATACACTGACTTCCTTAGGATTCATAGCTAAACCAGTGAAATGAAGAATGCCTTACACATAAGAAACTTTCTTACACATAGCTAAACCAGTAAAATGAAGAATGTCTTACACATAAGAAAGTTGCTATTGTGACTAGTATTGCTTATCCTTCTAAATTCACTTTTTCACATTTGATTTTTTAAAAATGTAACCTGCTTGTAACAATGAGAACAATGTTTAAATTATTAAATCATAAAATGCTTTTATATTTAAAAATACCTGCTTCTTTTCTTTGGTAGTTTCAAAGGGTAGCATTTTGGAAGCTTTATACTATATGCAATTGTCAATGTTAAAAATACAGATAGAAATTTAACAACAATTTCTTAAAAACCTTAAGTTTAAACAATGTCAATAAAAACTATGAACCATTTTCCAGGAAGTGTCTTCAGAAAGGAATCCTGCAAATGTAGATGAAGCAATAGCTTTTATCAATATACTGCACACTTTTTGATAGACACTTAAAAGATTCTTTCTCTTTTTAAAGGACGAGCCAACCACTGGTCTGCAATTATTGGTGGATCTCATTCCAAAAACTATGTTCTTTGGGAATATGGAGGATACGCAAGTGAAGGGGTGAAGCAAGTTGCAGAGCTGGGATCCCCAGTTAAAATGGAAGAAGAAATTAGGCAACAGGTAATATATCATATAATCTATTAAAACAAGAAAAAGGATTGTGACTCATTAAAAAACAGATTGGCAGCAAGATCAAAGTAATTAAAGGAGAAAAATTGAGATATTTTGTTATGAAGATTGTCAGTATCTATTATAGGAAATTTTAACTAAGTTAAGTACAGTTTTTTAAGTTAATTACAGGATTTTAACATGTAACATGTAATTAAATATTCTCTTTAGACCACATTCCAATTTATTCTGTTCATAATGCAATATTGAACCATAGAATTTATCTGTATGTTTAAGTTAGGAGTTTCTATATAACATCTTTAGCATTGCTTTTTTTCCCCCTGACATCAGTGTTTGAATTAACTTAAGCATTTACAAAATACACAGAGAAAAATCATCACAAGTGGGTGACCATACCATCTCATATTGAAGGGAGATTCTGTAGGGAAACAAAAAAAATGTGATGGCAGATGGTGTGCAAGGCGTGGGAGAAGTTTGCAATCAATAGTGTAATCTTAAATTCTCATATCATTTTCTAGTATGGTATCACATCTGAAGTGAATTAATAGCAACAATTGTTATAGGCTGAACTGGTTGAAGCATCAGATTTTATCTAAATGACAAGATCTTTTCTACATTTTATCTATGATTTCAGTTCCATTTAGCTTCAAAAAAGATCTCAAACTGCTTTCTGTTGAGCAATTAATTCTGCCTTTAAGATATAGAGCATACTTTTATGAAAAAAAGTCTTATCTAGGGGAAAAAAATCATACAGTGTTTATTTGCCAAACTTTATTATCGCTAATAATTTCCATTGAACCAGTAAGAAATGTGGTTGATTCAGTTGTTTGCATGATGAAATTTACATCAGATTTGACTTTAGCCAGTTTTTCCTCAAGCTCCAAATATTAATATTACAGCATTCTTAACACTAATATGGTTGGAAGTGGCATATATACTCTTTGTATATATTTATTTTGTTTCCTATTTGAAGGATACAGCAATAGTAATTAAACATTTATATTTAAACTGCAGGCCCTATTTGAACTTCATATTTTGAGAATGCATATGCTGGGGAAAATATCCTAGAGCATGCATACATTTTCTCTTCTATCTTTTAGGTTCTCTTCTATCATTTTTGAAAATATTTTCCTAAAAAGCAATGTTGGGAAAGAGGTCACATCAATTGATTTTTATCCTGCAGGCTAAGGGGCCACAAAAAGATTAAAGTCTATTAAAGGCCATAAGTAAAAGAAGGTGTACATTTTTAAAAATATCTGTAAATAAGTTTATAAATAATAATGGCTTTATTCTGAATGTGATGTTCTGACAACAGCAAAGGAAGATATCAGGAAAATAATTTGTTGGATTGTAATAAAAATAAAGATAAAGGATGGGTGATCAGAAAATGGCAGAGTAGCAAAATCTGTACAGCAGTTGAAGGCAATCTTCACCTAAAGGCTAAATTCTAATATTTGAGATGCACTTGTGGCTTTTTGTGCATGTGTGTGTCTTTAAAGAGCGTTGGTCTGTGTTTCAGGGAGCAGAAGATTGGAGTATTCCCTCAGGCTATACAAAGGTTTTATTGCTAAATGCATCCTGAACTAAAACTTTCTGGAGTGAATTTAAATAGGCATTCATTTTATGTATCAAATGTGAAATGAATGAATAATTGAATTTTCTTGGTCTTCTCCAAGACAGCTCAGCTAAGCAGGAAAAACGTCAGTGCTGGATGGTACATTTCTATTAAAGTGAGATACAGTGCTTCTAGTGTGATTTTTTTTGTTTTCATTGTCCTCGGGTACATAACATGTATGCTACTTAACCAGAAAATAAAGAGGATGTGCAGCTGTATGTCACTTCCCGCCTGGACTACTGCAATGCTCTCTACATGGGGCTCCCCTCGGGGTGCACCCGGAGGCTGCAGTTGGTCCAGAATGCGGCCACGCGGGGGATTATGGGAGCGACAGGGCGCTCACATATAACACCTCTCCTGCGCGAGCTGCACTGGCTTCCTGTGGTCTTCCGGGTGCGCTTCAAGGTGTTGGTGACCACCTTTAAAGCCTACATGGCTTAGGGCCGCGGTATTTGCGAGACCACCTTCTGCTGCCAATAGCCTCCCACCGACCGGTTCACTCGCACAGAGAGGGCCTCCTCAGGGTGTCGTCAGCCAGGCAGTGCTGGCTGGTGACCCCCAGGGGGAGAGCCTTCTCTGTGGCAGCACCTGCCCCCTGGAATGACCTGCCCCCTGAGATACGCATGATATCAGACCTCCGGACTTTTCGTCGGGCCCTGAAGACACATTTGTTCCATCTAGCTGGGCTGGCTTGATCCCATCCTCTCAGTTTTTTAATCGAATTTCGGTTTTAATTGGGTTGCTTTAAATTCGGGCCAAAATTATTTAATTGTTTTTTAAAATGTTTTTAACTTTTATATGCTATGTTTTATCCTGGCTGTACACCGCCCTGAGTCCCACAGGAGAAGGGCGGTATAGAAATAATAATAAAAATAAAGTATGTAGAATAGCATCTCAGGATTTTCATTCTCTCATTCTCCTTCCATTTGCCCAATGTTGAGTACTGTATAGTACCAGACTTGGAGGTCTCCTGTGGTTGCTTCATTCTTCTGGTTATCATTTGGCAGAGCAAGAAAGCACGGAGAAGGATCATATTTCATTAATTATTAGGTGCTAGATATTTCAAAGACATCTCTGCAGCAATCACTACTAATTATGGAGGCTGTCACAAGGATCCAGGGCAGCCTGCCTTTGGATACAAATGGTAAAAATTCCTGGTTCCAGGACTCTGATTTATAAATTACTTTACGTGGGTATGATTGTAGTGGTTTACCTGCCTTGGCTTTGGGGTCTCATTCTGAATCTATAGTACTCAATTTTACATAACTTCAGAGACCATGATTTTTATTTGGTTTCTCTGTCCTGCTGAAAGCACTGCCATTTCCATTAGATGACTCTGTTTCTCTTTTTCTCTCTCTCTTTTTATGATTATCCCCTTGTATCTTTTTTTCTCCTGGTAGTGATAATGGCCTTTTGGCTTTGTGGTTTTACTTTACTTTGTGGTCTATTTCCTTAGTACCTTGGAGGGCATTTCATTTTAATTTAGGAACTGCAAAACTGGTGGTGGGAGGGGTTTGTGATTTGTATATTTGTTTATTCAATTTGTAAGGCTGCCCAGCTCAATAAGTAGCTTTGGGAAGACAACAAAATTAAAATAAAATCAAAACAACATAGATAACATAAAAATTAAAATACATAGCCAAAAATATTTAATGTCCCATCATCACTGATACAACTATGAAATGGGTGTCTGTACACAATTGTGAACCTGGGTCTTTAGGACTTTATCATCATCATATCATAAGTTTATTTGTCAAGCATATATAAGATAACAGATAAAAGTATAAACATAATTTGAATACATGAAAAGAGTAAGTAAAAAGGAATATTAGGACAGGGACGGTAGCCATGCTGGTGCACTTATGCACGCCCCTTACAGACTTCTTAGGAATAGGGTGAGGTCAATAGTAGACAGTTTAAGGTTAAAGTTTTGGTGGTTTGGGGAAGAAACTACGGAGTCAGGTAGTGCATTCCAGGCATTGACCAGTCTGTTACTGAAGTCATATTTTCTGCAGTTGAGTTTGGAGCAGTTTACCTTGAGTTTGTATCTATTATTTGCTTGTGTATTGTTGTGATTGAAGCTGGCCTTTATGAAAGGCCAGCAAGGTCAAACCCATTCTGGGAAGTCTTTGAGGATTGTCCATATGACGGGCACCACAGCAGAAACTGGCATTCCTTGGCTGATGGGACCTGAAGCATGTCCACCTTGCTTGACCGAATTGGATGAGTAGAAATAAATGGGGAAAGATGGTCCCTCAAATTGGTTGCCTACAGCTTGACTATATAGCTACACAGTCTTTCCTGATCAATTGTCATGTGTTTTTGTAATGGAGTGTGTGGATGATCTTGGAGGACAAAGGAAAAAGATTCTGTGTAGGAACAATGAGGCTGCAGGAGAACCCTACAGTTGCTTAATGGTAAGAAAAAGAAAATTAGGAAGAACTCATCCTAATTGATCAGATGGTTAAAAATGGCGGCAAGAAGTTCGTGCTTTCAGACTTGCAAGGTTCTGTTGATACAGCCTTACAATAAAGTAGATTTAGCTCATCTAATCATATTTCCTGTCTGGTTTATCCAAGAGAGCAGTTTTTGTAGCAAAAATGCATACCGAAAATATATTCTGGTGAACTGGTGGTCCAGTTTTGAGCCATTATTTTATTTCTAGAATCTTCAAGAATCTTAAATGGGTCTTATCAAAATATGCAGGTTAGGTTTTATTTTATTTTATTTGGTTTAAGATAATTGTAATTTTTTTTCAATACCTCTTTTCACTTTTGATTAATTATTTGTATTAAATTAAGTTTTCATCTTTCTTATAAAAGGTTTGTAGTTATTTAGGCAGAAAAGTGGAATCTTCAAATAACTTTCATTTTATCAGCTTATCCTTGGGTTTATCAGAGAAAAAAATACATCTTTATTGTATATTTTCATTTTACTTTGATCCCAAGCATTGCCACAAGATATTTGCGTGTGACGGAGTTAGTGACCTGGAACTCAAATATGCCCTTCATTCAGTTTCTATAGACTGACATTATTTTACATTTTGGATGAGCAATTGCTGAATATAGTCAGAGTTTGAGTTTTCTTCCCCTATAATCTCCTTGGAAAGGTTACATTCAACACATGAAACCTTTTTTCTCTCTCTCTCTCTCTTTCTCTTTTTGAGTCTCTTTGTCATAGAAGAGGAATATAATACTTTTACATTAAGCTTGGTAAAATAGATTAGATTTTAGATTAGGAATGAGTTTAGAGACAGAGAGAGCTTATATTTATAACTGTAGCTCAGTAATCAATAAAGCCAATCTACACTTGTCTCACCAGCATGGAAATATATGGATAAATCAATGTTTAGCACATATATATTACATTCCCAACT